CTTTTTTTTCGTTCGACTCGACGTGAAGGTTATATGAGGGAATGTGGAGGATGACTAGCAGCCCTACGCCTCACTGAGTATATTCTACTGGACATGTCTCCTTTGGTTGTTCAACCAAAGTGGACTGTTCCAAAATTTTTTCCTATATCGGAAATGAATTTTATAGTGAAAAATAGTACGATTAAACTTGAGATTAAATGGCAAGTCGAAATATTTAGAGTTTGTTTTTATATTAATTATCAAGTTTAATATGTGCTTAGTATAAATATATATATATATTATAATATTTTAAATGTGTGGTGCACTTACATGAAGGCGGGAACGAAGGGTAATAATTCGTTGTATTAGAAGTTGTAAATCACTAATTATCCTATTTGATAAAATGATCACTTTCTATATATACGTGTAGAGTAATTAATACGAAGAGTTTCATACAAGTCTCAAAATAACTTGCACTGAGAAGATATTCTCCATTTACTTCATTTATTTGAGTTTTATAAAAGGACACCCCACGGGACAAAAAGGTGGAAACAAAAGAGGGATCTGTCGACGATATGTTTTTTATTGTATAGTGTATAGTCTACAATAGTGAAAAGTAAATAAAAGAAATCTGTACAAAAACTAAATCGTTGATTATACTCTGCAAAGTAGTATTACAATGAGATATGATGTGGTGTTATAGTGTATATATATATATATACATATATATAGATGTATATATCTATAAATATATCTTTATACATTCTTGATTTAGGTGGTTTGTCTTCTTAACAGTGTACCTCGAAATGAAAGAATACAAGGTTATATACAGCTATTGGCATATGCATCCTTTTCTTAGTCTGAAGACTGGAAGAACATATTCCTCCCCTTTATTTTAATCTATTAATCCGAAGATTGGCTTACACTAGACAGCTTATTTATATGCTCTTCTGATATACTGTTATACCTTAAGCCTTTTTAATTTATAGGGTTTTCATTAAACTTTCATTTATTTTTAGATTAGATTTGAATTATTCGTTTATTATTATTATTTCTTTGCATCTTTTAAAATGCGCTATAATATAAATACACTGCTGGGAAACTCACTTGATACCGCAAGTGAGCGTAAAAAAAATTACAACGACGGAGAGTGGGTTGTTGTCGAGCTTCAAAACATTGAATCCCTTACAGGGTCTGAGATTGTAATTAATCACGAAAGCAAGGGGTTTGATCGTACCAAAATCGCAAAGAGCTTCGTGCGGGACGCCTCTTTTCCATCGTTGACGAGCGATTCTCTGAGGTTTACCAATAGCAAGAAACCCATTCTAGAGCTGGAAGAAATCCCCACCACCTCGATCGATTCCTCGCTTTCCGAATTTGCGAGTCCAACCAAAAGCGACCACACACAGGGCGACCACCCATCATTTGGTCCCACGGTGAACTCATCCACTGCACCTTGTAAGAAGGATGGGCTGCCCATAAAATTGCCATTATTTTACCGAATCCAAGAATCGTCCATGAGTGAGGTGCAGTCCGACTCCTTTCTTCAAGGGGTCGCTTCTCTCTTTAATGAGGATTCGTATTATTCCGAGACTTCGCATAAAGAAGGGCCCGAGATGCCGTACCCCGCGCTCCCGATGGAGATGGAGAAGCCGAGCTCGGTGACCCTTGACGGCTCTTCCCCCGCCATTTCGGACGAGCCCGCGAGCGAAATGGCGGGGCCGGTGGAAACTAAAGCGCCGCGGGGTTTGGGGCCGAACATTCCGTCCATCCGGTCTTTGGATAGCCAAAGCGAGGCCGCCGACGAGCAGGAAGGAGCGACCCACAAGGACCCTAAAGGTTCCAATAGTTCGTTGGGTCCCAAACACACCGCAAGCGCGCGTCTTGGGAAGAAAAAAGACCCCAAAATGGCTTTGATGAGACGAAGGCGGGATGCGGCGGTGCCGGTCATTTCGCGTTGTGTGGAAGGGAAAGGAAAGTCCATGGAGCGGGTGATCCCCCAAGCGCCGCCGACGTCGCTGGAGGCGGGTCCCATTCCCGCCCGGCCCGATCCGGTGGAGTCGATCGGGGCTTCCACAGCCCCCCCGTCGACATTTGCCCTGACGGCATCGGATCTTTCGCGGGTGCGCCTCAAACTTGGGCGATGGCGCTGTCCGAGTCTTTCCCAACAGCCCAAAATCGCCCACGTCTGGGCGCCCAACCCTGTTGTGGAAAGTTTAAAGTCCGCCAGCCCCACCCGCGCGATGCTGCCGCCGATCACGATTTACCGCCAGGGCGAGGGCGATTCTTCGCGGCTTCGCGGCCGCATGGCCTTTCTTGAGGACCAGGACGGCAATCTCGAGCTCGCCAAGGCGGTCTTCCACGCGAACGCGCACGCCGACGCCGC